CCTCTATGATGGAGAATCTATGTCAGCCTTAAATACATACATGTACTCTGTCCCCACAGCTCCCTGTGGCAAGGAGTTCCAAAGACTCACAACTCAATTCTGGTCTCCCTGCTTTAGGAAAAGTGTGGTTAAACTTGAAAGCGTTCAGAAAAGGTTTACAAAAATGTTGCTGGGATTGGAGGATTTGAGCTATAGGGAGAGACTAATAGGCTGGGGCTATTTTCCCTGGAGTGTCAGAGGCTGAAGGGTGACCATACGAAGGTTTATAAAAGTATAAGGGGCATGGATAGAGTGAATAGCCAAGGTTTTTTTTCCAGGGTACAGGAGTCCAAAACTAGAGGGCATGGGTTTAAGGTGAGAGGGGAAAGAGGGTGGTGCATGTATGGAACGAGCTGCCGAGGAAGTGGTGGAGGAAGGTACAATTACGACATTTAAAAGACATCTGGTGGGTACATGAATAGGAAGGGTTTAGAGGGATATGGGCCAAATGCTGGCGAATGGGACTATATCAGTTTAGGATACGTGGCCCGCATGGATGAGTTGGACCAAAGGGTCTGTTTCTGTGTTGTATAACTCTATGACTCTGAGAGATGAAATTTCTCCTTAAATTGGCACCTCTTTATTCTGGCACTACACCCCCAATCCCAGACTTTCTCCTCTTAGCATTTACTGTGTCGAGCCCCTTAAGAATCCTATAACGTTTCAATGAGATCAGCTCTCATCCTTTTAAACTCCACAGAATAGAGTCCCAACCTGTTTAGCCTTTGTTCATAAGACATACCAGGGATCATCCTAGTGAACTGCTTTGAACTGCCTCCGATGAAATTATATCTTTCCTTTAATAAGGGGCTAAACCTGCTTAGTACTCCAGATGTGATCTCACTAACACCTTGTACAGTTGCTGTAAGGCTTCCCTACTCTTATACTCCAATCCCCTTGAAGTAAAGGCCAATATTCCATTAGCCTTCCTGATCGCCTGCTGCACCTGTGTGCTAGCTTTCTGTGTTTCATGCACATGTGCCCCGAGTCCCTTTGACTTGCAGTTTTCTGCAGATTTTCTCCATAGAAATAAAATTCTGTTCTTTTGTTCTCCACTCCAAAATGAACAAATTTGCATTGTCTTACATTATACACCATTTGCTAACTTTTTGTCCACTTACTTAACCTAACAATATCTCTCTGTAAGCTATCTGTGTTCTTCTCATATCCTGCCTTTCCACCAATATTTGTGCCATCTGCAAATTTGGATACAGTACATTCACTTCCTTCCTCCAAGTCATTAATATATAATGTTATCAGTTGTGGTATCAGCACTGATCCCTGTGGAACCCCAGCGGTTACAAGTCACCAATCTAAAAAAGAACTCCTTATCCCCACTTGCTCTTTCCTGCCCATGGGTCAATTCTCTATCCATGCCATTATATGCTCTGAAACACTGTGTACTCTTATCTTATGACTTAACCTTTTCTGAGATACCTTGTTAAATGCCTTCTGGAAGTCCAAATACAACACATTGACTGGTTCTCCTCTATCCGCTCTGGTTGAGACTTGCTCAAAAATACTCTGCATAGTCAGACACAATTTCCCTTTCATGAAGCTATGCTGATTCTTCTTAATTAGATGAACAAATCTTCTGCTATTACTTTCTTAATAATTGATTCTAATATTTTTCCAACAATATATGTTAGGCTAATTGGCCTATAGTTACCCCTTTCTGAATAGGGGTGTCACATTAGCAGTTTTCCAATTGTTTTATTCATTGACAGGTTGAGGGCATCACTGGCTAGACCAGCATTTATTGTCTCACCCTAATCGCCCAGATAGCAGGTTAAGAGACAACCACATTGTTGTGGGTCAGATAAGGATGCCAGTTTCCTTCCCTAAAGGGCATTAGTGAACAAAATAGTTTTTCACAATAATTAATTCATAGTCATCATTAGACTCTTAACTGTTGATTGCTAAAAAAAACATTCAATTCAAACGCCACCATGGTAGGATTTGAATCCAAATCCCTGCCGGGGACTCTGGATTAATAGTCTAGTGATAGTACCACTAGGCCATCGCCTCCCCTTGGTACTTCTTTTGTACTTCTCCATAATCCAAAGAGGCTTGTATTTTACAACCAATGCATCTACTATCTCTTTTGCTACCTCCTTTAGGATTTTAGGATGCAAGCAATCAGGGTAGGGGACATCTAGTAACATCTGTTATTGTTTATTAGAAAGGATGTAATAGCAGAATATTTAAAAATGTATCAAAAGTTTGAGCAGAATCAGAATGGCTTCAGGAAGGGGAAATCATGCCTGACAACTTTACTAGAATTCATTGAGAATATAACAAGCAGGATAGATAAAGGGGAAGCTATGGATGTAATATATTTGGATTTTCAGGTGTCTGATAAGGTACCACACGTTAGGCTACTTAATAAAACAAGAGCCCATGGTGTTGGAGGCAGTATATTAGCATGGATAAAGGATTGGCTAACTAATAGAAGACAGGGTGTTGGGATAAGGGGGTGCATTTTTAGGCTGGCAATGTGTGACTAGTGCTGGGACCACAATCACTTACAATATATATTGACTTGGATGAGGAAAGTGAATATACTGTTGCCAATTTTGTGGATGACACAAAGAGTCTGTAGAGGGATAAAGGCAAGGTAAGTGAGTGGACAAAAACTTGAAAAAGGGAATATAATGAAGGGAAATATGAGGTTAAGCACTTTGACAAGAACAGAAGAGCTGTGTTTTATTTAAATTTAGAATGACTGCAGGATGCTACATACGTAGAGATTTTGGAATCTTCATCCATGAATCACAAAAAGCTAGCAGCCAAATTCAGCAGGTAACAAGGAAGGCAAATGGAATGTTGGCCTTTACTTCAAATTTAATATCAAAGTAGAGAAGGTCTGCTGAAACTATATAAAGACACTGGGCAGATCACAACTACAATAATGTGAACGGTTTTGGGCCCTTTATTGAAAGAAAGATATGCTGACATGGAGTGAGTCCAAACAAGGTTCATTTGGTTGATACCAGATATAGAGGGACTGTCTTATGAGGAAATGTTGAGTCTCTGCACTCATTGGAATATTAAAGAAGGAGAGCTGAACATAGTAAAACACTCAAGATTCTTACAGTACTTGGCAGGATAGAAGTGGGAAAGTTTATTTTGTGTTGTGGGAAAGTCTAAGACTAGAGAGCAGAATAACAGAATAGGGGGTCGCACATTTAAGACAGAGATGAGGAGGAATTTTTTTTCTTAGATGGTGTGAATTTGTGAGACTCTTTAGCAAAGAGGGCTGTTGCATCTGTGTTATTAAGTACATTCTATTCTGAGATAGACAGATTTTTAATCAGTAAGGAAATCAAGGGTTATGGGATAAGGCAGGAAGTGGAGTTGAAGGTTAACAGATTAGCCATGATCTCATTGAATGTCAGAACAAACTAATCGGCTGAATGGCCTACTGCTGGTCCCAATGTCTTATGCCTGGTTGCATGTCAATCATCTTCTGTAAATCTTCCATCTTATGGAGGGATGAAAACAGATGTGCTTTATACTTTCCAAATGAATCACAGTTTCGAGCCCAAAGTTTTAACTGTCATTTGTCTCTTTCACTTGCATCCTACACACTGAGGTTACATGGACTTTTTTTCTCTCCTTGTTTAACGGAGCTCGGGTGCTCACATTGAGCAATAGAAAGCAAAGCTGCCCGGTGTCATCTGACAAAAAAAAATCCAAACAATAAGAATCGCCTTCAATTTGACACGATATGGCAAGCAGCATTACACAAGTAAGGTAGGAACAAATTGCTGCAGATGCTGGAATCTGTACTGAAAACAAAAAAAGTGCTGTAGATCACAGCAGGTCAGGCAGCATCCATGGAGAGAAAGCAAGCTAACGTTTTTAGTCTAAATGACTATTCATCTAGACCCTCTGTGATCTCCAGCATTTTTTGCTTTCATTATACAGGTAATGTTGGGTGCACTTTAATGTTCCAGGTCAGCATATTCACCAATCACTCTAATTATCTAATGAAGTGAGTTGGTTTAACTCAGTTGACTGGCCTGCTGGTTTGTGATACCAACAGCATGGGTCCCACTCCCACACAAGCCTAGGTTACCATGAAATGTTCTTCTCAACCTCTCTTCTTGCCTCAGGTGTGGTCACCCTCAAGTCAAACCACCATTAGTATAGAACAGTCCAAAAGGTCGGGAAGACTGATGGTGACTCTACCTCTAAGGATATAAAGACCCTGCTCACTTGAACAAAAAACTATCAGATTCTAAGAACGTGTGCCGCGTCCCATGCATTCACGGTTGGTGATAAAAAGATTTTTCCACCGACTGATGGTAGATACCTGCTATATAAAAAAAGTAAAGTGTAAATTTCTTCGATCTAAGTGCTAAAACCGGTGAGTGATAAGTTAACACATACTTGGGGACGAAGGGATGGGGAATTGCCAAGCCAAGGGAATACGACTAAGTGGGGATGCAGCTCTTGGGTTTCCCATCCGCGTTGCACACTTTTGCCTGAGCCCCCCCTAGTAGCCATCCTTCATCCCTTTGGGCTAGAGTCAGGTGGCACTGAGCAAACCCATCCGCAAAATGTTGCAACGTATTGTTTAAAGCGATTACTGTGCAGAGGAGCAGCCCATGTAACAACACAGGGAGCACCACAAAATTATCACCGCGCTGCCTAATACCAATGAGAGAAGGGAACCGCGCGGAAGGGCCCTCTGCGTGCGTGCGTGCGCGCGCGTTCCCGGCAGGCGCCGTCCCTCACACCCCGTGCGCGCGCGCGTTCCCGGCAGGCGTCGTCCCTCACACCCGTGTGCGCGCGCGTTCCCGGCAGACGCCGTCCCGCACACCCGTGTGCGCGCGCGCTCCCGGCAGGCGCCGTCCCTCACACCCGTGTGCGCGCGCGTTCCCGGCAGACGCCGTCCCGCACACCCGTGTGCGTGCACGTTCCCGGCAGACGCCGTCTCCCACAGCCGTGTGCGTGCACGTTCCCGGCGGTGGGAAGGGGGAACAATGGCACGCGCAGTGGCTGCGCTTTCGGCCGCGCGGCAGCCCCAGTTCTGCTGAACTCCAGACCCGTCTGCAACTTTAACACTGAGTCCAGTCAGCCCGTTCTCCTGCAAAGCCGTACGCTGCTATGGGGTGAGTTTACTTTCTCAACAGACTGCACGTAAGGACACCACCCAAACTTTCTGTCTTTTCTTAAAAATAAATAATGCAATAATTTAGATGCGCCCCCCCTTTCCTCTCGATTTGTGAATAGATCAGATCAGCGAATGAATGGGGTTATTGTTTGTAACAGTGAAAGTTTCTCTCGCATTCAGTCCCATTCAATTCATTCCCTCCCCCGAGGACTGTCACTCTCCAGAGGTGGTTGGTTGGTTGGGTGGGTAAGTGAGGGGCTGGAAATGGGAGGAGGAGAGGTAAGCAGTGTGGGGGTGGGTGGAATAACGAATGAATGGGAGAAGGAATGCCCGTGTGGAGGAAAGAAAAGCAGCGCTGCCAGGGAGGAGCGAGGCAGTGATTGATTTAATTCGGGCACCTCTTTCCAGAAACTGCCTCAGACGCGACCGAGCCGTTAAAAGTTTCTAAATGGAAACTGGGTGAGGTTGGACTGTATGATTCAACGGCTTCGGAAGCTTTTTGAGAGACTGAGTTCATTTGGCTGCGATTCTTGCAAGAAACTACCTTTACCGATTCATCTGTTAACGTCTCGCTGTGTGTTTGTTAAACTTAAACCCTTTTCAGATCTTTTTGATTGACTGCAAAATAATGTGACGTAAAGCTTTGGCAATTTCTGATCTCACTCGGTGCATGAACGAGTCAGTGCGCGCCGAGCATCGGCAAACTCCAGGCAGCCGACAAGTATTATTTGGCATGAATGCAAAGAAAAGTGTTCATGGGTCAAAGGCAACAATAGGAGGACCGTCCTAAATTTCGCGTAGTTTGAAGCACGTTTTCTTTCTCGCTCAAGGTTTTAATAGAATAATATTGTGCTGTATATTTTTCTAGACTCTGTTGAAGTTTGGCACTCAGCAGGAACGTTGGGTGAAAATGAAAAGCTTAAAAGCCAAATTCAGAAAAAGTGATGTAAGTACTTCAAGCCATCTATATAACAGTTACTAGTTGCTAACTGTCGTTACAGGCGAAAGTTTTGACTTGGACAGTCATGAAATAGTTAGTGGTGACTAGAAACAGCGGCAGTCTTGCCTGTGAAGCTTCCGATTTACCCCTAAATCTGCACAAGCCTTTTGCGTGCGTAGATGTTGACTGTCAGTTCTTTCTAACTTATTAGATGAATAGGTTACAATCCTGGACTTTAAAGAAAAATAGAATTCCTGAAGCGAGTCATTTTCCAAACCTAATTCTACCACCCCCCCCATCCCCAGCATTTACCCAATTTAATAACTTGGGCTGTTAAAATGGACAATTCTGGCATTGCCACCCATGAATTCCCTATGGACAAGTTTGTTTAGCCTATTTGGACGTACTCTGAGCCCATTGTTGGCCTAATGATCGCAAGTAATTAGCGACTTTCACTAGTCTTGTTGTCTCTTTGGCCTTGTGAGCTTCATATGTCACATCTCTTCTGTTGTCTAATCCTCAATTTGTAATTGCGAGCATCAGGAAATAGCCGGAGAGGGGAAAAAAAACACTTTATTCCCCTCCACTGATTTCTGTTAACTTTAGAAATGGGTTAATGGGTTACATAGAATGAGAAATATTGCAAAAGTAGTTTGTTTGTTAAAGCCATTGTCTAAATTGGTTGTATCATCATATTGTTATGTGTCAAATCTTTGGCTGTCTTAAAAACCAAAGTACTATATTGGATTTAAGGTAATTATTTCTGTGCTTTCATGAAGAAATACATATGAGTGGGTCCATTTGAAGATATTATATCAAGTTTAACAGTTTTTAAATCAAATGTTTATTTATTAGTGTGTATCATGCTATTTTTTTCATTTTAAACATTGATCTCATGTAGTTGTGCAGTAGGATATTGCAGATTTTTTTTCATAGGATCTATTTTGACTTATAATATTTTTAAATTAAACAAGGGGGGGGGGCATATAGTTTAAAAAAAACCCAAGCGGTTTTGCTAACTTACATTAGGTTCTGTGGTCCTTGTAAATTAATCCAGTGGTACACTGCCAAAAAATATGTTGCATTAAGGTACTGGTACAAATTCTAATGACTTCTTCAAAATCCTAACAATATGCTACAGTTATTAGTGGTTGTTATTTATTAAATAGAGACACTAAGTAAATACAGTGATTGTGGACTTTAACTGGCTACAGTTTCTTGTTGAATGAACTAAGTCATAGAGCTGTAGAGCGTGGAAACAGACCCTTCAGTCCAACTCGTCCATGCCAACCAGATATCCTAAATTAATCTAGCCCATTTGCCAGCATTTGGTCCATATGCCTCTGTACCCTTCCTATTTATGTGACTACATCACCGTGACGACATTCAATATTTCTTTAAAACAGAGAAGAAAATTATATTTTAAAGGGTGAAAAAAAGCTCAATTTTTATTTCAAAATTGTATATTTTCACCTTCAGCTGGTTATAAACAGTTTTGGTGGTGGTAACAATCATAAGGATGCACTCTATCCAATCCAAGTGGTTTCGAACCATTCAGTGTGTTTTCTGCATGTATGAATAAACATGGTTTTACTGTTAGAACATAGAACATAGAACATTACAGCGCAGTACAGGCCCTTCGGCCCTCGATGTTGCGCCGACCTGTGAAACCAATCTGAAGCCCAAAAACCTAATCTCTCTTACACTTTAAACTTGATTTTAAAAAATGGGCAAATTCTTAATTTTGGCCTGTTTGTGAGATATAACAACTTTAGTTTGTAATTTAGGATTCAGAACATCATCTGTAAAAGCAAGGATATAACTAGCTTGTTTTATTAAATTACTCCATGATGTCTAAATATTTACAATTTATTTAACTATTTAAAATGAAAATCGCACCATTACATTGTCATATATTTGGTTGAATTATTGCAGTCACTGAGCGGGAGACTACTAGACATAAAAACAGAGACTGCAGGAAATAATTATTTTTGGAGACAGACAATTGCAGATGAGCTTGCCCTTCAACAAACAAAAGAACTGGTTTGCCCAACTTCTGATACCAAGTGTCAGTAGTGTGTATTTATTTACCTGATGTATAAGACTTCTCCTCAAGATACTATGAATACTAATTTAAAATTCTGCTTTGGTTTTATATTATTTTTCTTTTGTTTGTTTAGTTTGATGCAATCTCAAAAATGAGGAAAAAATGTTCTGTTGTGCCCTTTGGCTGATAAGTGGGACCATTTTTCATAATCACTGAACAAGTGCTTGCCTCAAGAGAATGGTTGGAATCTTGTAATATGTTATGATAGCTCAATAAAATGCATGGGAAATGCATTGCCTCATTTCAATGTAAATATTATTTAGGAAATTGTTATTGTTTATAAAAATAATTTTAGGTAGATCGTTTGTTGCAAATCTGACTTGTAACATTGTTGGAAATTACCTGTTTGATTCAAAGTCTTTGCTTTTTTAAATTCAGTTATTAAAGCAAACACACTAGCACTTGTAGAGTATCTCTGTTTTTGAATTAATTAATATTTTGGCAGACTGAGAAAAATCTGGAGTGCAGGATGTGAGAAAAGCTTTGGCATGTAGTCTGTGTAGTTGACAATCTTCAAGCAGTCAGTCAGAATAGTGATATTTCATCAGCATATGTAATGGATGGTTGACATTGTAAATTTACACAATATTCTCTTGCATCTTTGTTTTATATTTATTATTTGTTCCCTCTAGACTTAGCTATTCTGATATATTTCTGGCTATTCTTCCACATTCTACCCTCTGTAAACCTGAGGTAATCCAAAGCTCTCAAAAAATCCATCCTGTTCATTCACACTGCTGTGCGTGTTGAACTACATTTGGCTTCTGCTTAAGCAATGCTTTTGTTTTCAAATACCTCCATGGCTCAGCCCCTTTAGTTTTGCAGTCTTCTTGAGCTGTAAAATCCTTCAAGGTATCTGTACTCCACTGGATATTGGACACTTCAGTATGCCGGCTTTTAATTGTCACATTCTTGATGTCCATATCCTCAGTTGCAGAGACTAAAGTTCTGCAACACCATCTTTAAGCCTACTGCCTGTCTACCTTTCTTCACTTCTTAAAGCCTACCTTGTTGACCAAGCTTTTTATCATCTGCTCCAGTATCTCCTTTTGTGACTAAATTGCATATTTCGAGTTCTAAGGTCCAGTGAAGCCCCTTAGTCCAACTTATTGTGTAAAGGCACAATATAAATTCAAGTTATTAGTGTTTGTTTCACCCAAATAGCAGGACTGAGATTATATAGATTCCGAATATGTCCTATGTTCTGGAAAAAAAATCCCATGTTTCTAATGTGGTGGTGAAATGAATCTGTTCTCTGTTCACTGTCCTTTTGCATGATTGAAGTAGATAATAAATGTAGCTAATTTTCAACAATGCTGTTTTTTTTTTGTCTCTTACTGTACCATCTCACTTTTGTCCTTAACCAATACCTACAAATCACGTTATGGAGTTCTTGTACTCCTGTATTCTCTTAAGTTGCATGGACTTCATGAATCAAGTCTGATAATGAATATTAGTCTTTTTATCTTCCAAAAGATTTAAGTATATTATATAACTCCAGGTTATGGTTTCTTAAAATCATAAATGGGATGTAGGCATTGCTGGCTATGCCGGCATTTAGTGTTCATCTCCCATATTGGTGTTGAGAATTGGCTGAGCTGCTAAGTGGATAGCCCACAATGCTGATAAGAGAATTCCTGAATTTTGACCCAGCAACAGTAAAGGTGCAGTGCTTTACTTCCAAGTCAGGATGGTGTATGGCTTGGAGGGGAACTCTCAAATGGTGGTGTTTGCATGCATCTACTGTCTTTGTCCTTTTTAGATGGTAGGGTTTGGGTGGTGCTATCTTGGTGAGTTACTGCAGTGCCTTTTATAGGTGATACATATTGCAAATATTTGCAAATACTTCAACTTTATATTTTGGGCTGCCCCATCATTGACAATCATCCAACAAGTTATGTAATTATTCAGCACCATTCATGACCGGATGTAGCAGAACAACAGAACTGATCCTTTGATTGTGTGAGGGCTTAGCGCTGTCAATTGCATGCTGCTGTTTAACATGCAAGTAGTTCTGTGTTGTAGCTTCACCAGGTTGACACCTCGTTTTTATGTACACCTGGTGCTGTTCCTGGCATGGCCTCCTGCTGTCTCCATATGAGCTCACTTTTGGGCAAGGATATGTGAGGTTGATTCAGATCATAGTGTGACTAGAAACGTGGTTCTTGCATTATCAATCCCATCTAATTGGCTGCATAACTCTTGCCAAGTTACATCTTGGCTTCTCTTTATTTTCCTTCTCCCATGTGATTTTTCTTAGGGAATATCTTGTTGTCTTTTTCACACTGTCTGTACTGTGACTCCTCAGTTACAGTGATTTAAATCTATTTCTTAGCTCCCTTTATTTTATCTAGTCTTGATTTCATTATGTGTCCACTTTTTATGCCTCTTTCTTGAGAATCTTAACTCCATCTGTTGATCCTTCATCTACCCAGCCATGTTCTCTGTATTTCATTGCTAATTTTCTGAGCCTCTCTTCATCATTTCAACTAAAAAAAATTACTAATCATTCTTGTCCTCAGGCAACCCATTCTGTGCATTCTTTTTCATAATATTTCAGCAAATATATTAACAATCAAAGTAGTAATTTTCTTTAAATGAAGTATACATAAAATCATACGTCTGTTGGTTGAAAGACAACATTTGAGAAGCCTAAGTTTGGGGACAAGGCCTAGGATGCAGAGTTGAACCTACCCTAAAGAAAAACTTGCATTATTATATTGCCTTTAATGTTTTTGGGCTGTTGCAGGATGCTCTACAGACAAATTTTAAAATATTGCCACTTGAAAGCAGGAAAAAGCAGCTAATATATGTACGGTATGTCTCCAAAACAACAATGAGATAAAAGATGAGTTAATTTTTGTTTTCCATTGATGTCAGTTGAGAGAGAAATGTCAGC